TCATTACTATAATTGTTATTTCTTTTTAATATTTTAAAAATTATTTTTGTGTATATGCATGAATCTTTTTGCTTTTGTTATTTGTTGCTGCTGTATGGGGGATTGAAAGGTAGGGTTTTATACCTGCTACGCAAGTGTTCTACCACTAAACTACCTCCTCAGACCTTAATTCTTTGAGACAGATTTTCCGTGTAAACTCAAGCTGGCCTGGATCGCCATCCTCTTGCTTCTGCCTCCCAAGTATTGGGATGGTGTGGATGGATTGCTCTCTGGAGCTTTTTCTTTGATGTGTACTTTCAGGGTAGATCGCTAGTAGCACTGTCAGTCATCCTGTGTTACTGGATCACTTCAGCTTTCTGTTACTTTTTTGTTTCTCTCCTCATTCCTTTACCTCTGATAATATATACATATCTTTTATGTTTGGCATTTGAAAATATATTTTATCAAAATCCTTGTTGGTGCCTTTGACTTGGTACATAGAGTATTTTTACAACTGTATTTGAAACAAAAATAGTCTCTTTTGAATCACTAAATAAAATATGACATGCCCCAGGGATTTGAGCTAATTACAAGAGTTCAAATTAATGAAAACTACGCATCTTAAAAAGAAATCCATTATGAATCATTTGCTGTGAAAATATTAAAGTTTACAAATGTCACTTTAGTGACTGGATGAGTCATTGTAATTTTAGTTTTTTTTATTTTTATTTAATTGTTTTGTGTATGAGATTTTTCCTTGCATGTAAGTGCATCCATGTCATGAAATCCTTGTGGAGGCCAGAAGAGTGCATTGGATCCCCAGAACTGGAATTTCAGACAATTGTTAGCCACCATATGAGTGCTAGGAGTCAAACCCAGGTTCTCTGCCACAGCAGCCAGTGCTCTTATCCACTGAGCCATCTCTCCAGTCCCTGCAGTTTTACTTTTTAACACCTTTCCCCGACCCGCATTTGCTTTTTAATACAGAATCTCATAGACCCCTACTGGTCTCAACCTTGCTAAGTAGTGGAGGCTGGTCTTGAACTTCTATCCTCCTCCCTCCATCTCCCAGGTGTTGGGATTTCAGGCATGTGCCACTATGCCCAGCCATAATTTGTAAAGTTTACATGTTTAAAATAACATATTAAACATGAGCATATTTTAGTGTAATTTAAATATGAATCATTTCAAGAAGTATAAAGATACGGACAACCACAGCTTGTATGTGTTGCTCATCATGTCCTAGGTGCTCTGCTTATCTTTGAATACACATTACTTTATATTATTTCAATTAAACTTCACCAGCCTTTTATGAAGTATGTTTATATTATTTCCCCATTTTACAGGTGAGGAAAGGAGAGTGTCGAAAGTTTTAAGTGTCGCTGAGGTAGTGGCTCATATCTGTAATACCAACACTCAGGACACTGAGGCAGGAGCATTATTGCTAGCTGTATTCTGAAGTGAGTTCTAGGCCAGCTTGAACTACAGTTAGCCCTGTCTCAAGACAGCAACAAAGAATTAAAAAGAAAAAGGGAAGGGAAAAAGGAAGACCAGTTGAAGGTTTTAATGGCATCTTATTAGCATAACTAGTCAGCGGCCCCTCAACTATTTGAACATAGTCTTCACAGTAGATTCTGTGTCTTTTCATGAAGATGCTTATGTTGTCACTCGCTATTTATTTAAAGTCTGTATAACTGGCTTCCAAGTTCTAGAGCGCTAGAGTCTACATCTCCCTCCTATAGTAGTAGAATATGATTTCGGATGGCTGGTTTGTCAAGTTTGTTATCCCAGGCAGTAGTGCATAATTGAAACCCCATTCACAACCGTCACAAAGCACACCTTGCATGCCAGTATCCATGGCAGAGTACTAAATCATATGTACTACTCTCTGACCCATTCAATTATTCATCTTCTTATTTTTCAGTGGATGATTCAGCAGCCACACAAAGCAGCCACATTCTTTGGATGCATTGGGATAGATAAATTTGGGGAGATCCTCAAGAGCAAAGCTGCTGAGGCCAACGTGGATGCTCATTACTATGAGCAGAATGAGCAGCCGACAGGAACCTGTGCTGCGTGCATCACTGGTGGCAACAGGTAGGTCAGCGACAGTATACTGAGCGCTGTATAAACACCAATGAAACCTGAATTGCAATCAGAATTTAAAACTGAGCTTCACATTGGTATTTTTTTTTTTTTTTTTTTTTTTTTTTTTTTTTTTGGTCATCTTTTTGAGACAGGGTCTCCCTATAGTCCCAGCTGACCTGAACTCACTATGTAGACCAGGCTGGCCTTGAACTCACAAGGATCTGCCTGCCTCTGCCTCCAGAGTGCTGCGATTAAAGGCATGTGCCACCATGCCTGGCTGGTAATCAATTTTAATGTTTAGTAAACCCTTTGTGTCATTTTTTTGCCTTAATGTATTTATTTTTTATTTTAACAATTTCATACGTGTATGTAATATATTTTGATCAAATCTGTGTCATTCTCTCCTCTTCAGCTCCTCCCCTACACACATACATTACCCTCCCCACTTCATGTGCTCTGTTTGTAAACCCATTGAGACCATTTAGTGTTGCCCTATGTGTATGGCTGTAGGCTCATCTATTGGAGCATGGGTAGCCTGTCAGGGCCTGCATCCCTGAGCAACATTGACTCTCCCTACCCCCATGCATGCTGGATTTTGTCTGGTTTGATCTTGTGCAGGTTTAATGCATGAGTTTATGTTTTCAACAGCCCTGTTGTGTCCAGAAAATACTGTTTCACTGCACATATCCACTACCTCTGGCTCTTAGAACCTCTCTGCCTTATCATGATAGGATCCCTGAGTCTTGGAGGCAGTATGTGATATTGATGTCCTATTTGGAGCTCAGAACTCCACAATGTCTTATTCTCTGCACTTGACCAATCATGGTTCTCTGTATTAATCACCAAGTACGTCAAAAAGAAATTTCTCTGATGAGAGTTTAGTGATGCACCAGTCTATGGGTATAAAGATAAGAACTTAAGTGGCAGTTTGTTACTGTGTTCATTTAGCAGAGTAATAGTATTGTGTTCTCCCCTAGGACCTAGGACCTAGCCAGGTACTGTTTTTTTGCCCAGGTCTGAGACATGATTTCTGTCTTGTGATGCTGACTTTATATCCAGGCCAGAAAGGGGTATATCTTACCAGGCCAGTTGTTACTGTAGCTCTCCGGGTTCACAGTGGGTAAGACTGTTGATTACTTCTCTCTTCCAGTAGCATGCATAGGAACTTTCCAGCAGTTTGAAAGTTAGCCAGTAGGGATGAAGCTTCCAGGTTGGTACCAGCTTAATTTCATCATGTTCGATGACACAAGTATGTGGTATCTTCAGCAGTAGGGTCATACCATCAAGCGGTAACCAAGTACAATAGCCATATCCTGTAAGGTTTAGGGGGTCTATGGGACTCCACCAACCAACACTTTGAACAGAAGTAGCCCATACCTGACACTGAACTTCTAATTTAAAATAGCCTATGTTATCTGGGAGAGACCTTGAAAATCTCTCCAGCCCCCACAGGGTAACTCTGTTTAAACTCTTTTTTACATGTATACATGTATGTATTTTAGGAAGCTTCTACCATACTGGGTTCCCATCTAGCTATTTCAAAGGTGTTCACTATCCCTCTCTATATTCCTCTACCCTGATCTCCCAATTTAACCCTTCCTATTCCATTGTTCCCCTTTCCTCCTTCATGCCACCTGCATTCTATCACCCTCCCTTACTAGTTCCTGACTACTCTGGTACTCCAAATTAGATAAACATCTAAAGATGTATATCTAATGATGAGAGAGAACATGTGGTGTTTGTAGATTGCCTCAGTCAGAATGATTATTTCCAGCTCCATCCTTTTACCTGCAAATTTCATAATTTCATTTTTCTTCGCACCTGAATAATACTCTGTTCTATGTATATACCACATTTTTTGTTATCCATTCATCCTTTGATGGACATCTAAGCTGTTTCAATTACCTGGTTATTGTGAATAGAACAGCAGTGAACATGGATGAGCAAGTATCTCCGTAGTAGGATAATAGTGTCTTTTGAGCCTATGCCCACACATGGTATAGGTGCATCATATGGTATTTATTTCTAGTTTTGTGAGGAACCTCCACACTGATTTCCAAAATACCTGCACCACTTTGCACTCAAAACAACAATAAATGATTAAATATTTCGCTTTCCCCATATCTATGCTACACAAGAATTCGTTGTCATTTGATCTTAGCCATTCTGATAGGGATAAGATACCATTATTACTTGTATGATGGGGTGGCGGGGAACAGCCTGTAGAGCAAGTTCTTTCCTTTCACGTCTACAGAAGTTCCAGGGATTCAATTCAGGTCACAGGCTTGCATCACCTTTTTTTTTTTTTTTTAATTTTTTTAGACCTGCTGTTGTACTTTTAAGGTGTAATGGAATGAAAGTTTAAGATTATCTAATCTAGTTTCTACATTGTATAATTGGGCTCAGGAAAACATGTTTTGCTCAATATTTTACAGCTAGTAATTTTCCGAACATGCCTTAGAAAGAATGATCTTGTCAGTATAACCTGATATTAAAATATTAAAATCTGTGCATAGACGCATGTGGAACATAGCTTCAGTCCATGTTAAGCAACTGTAGTTATGGGGAATGCACCATTCAGCCAACCACCAAGCCAGGTGTGGTGACACATGCCTATAGAATTGCAGCACTTGAGGGGCCAAAGCAGGAGGATCACCAGTGTGAGGCCCAGGATGGACAACACAGTCAGACTTTGCATGTGGGGGAGGGAAAGAATATGTGTTTACACACACATACTTTTAAATTTCAGAATTCTTTTAATTGTTCAAAGTAGCACAAAGTGACATGATACAGCACTATGAGCCTCAGGAGTTACTCTACAGTAGATGTACAATGGTACTAGTCTTAGTGTGGGAGAAACCAAAAGAAACAGGTGAAACAATGAGACCAGGTCACTGTGCCCCCAGAATGACCAACTATTACATTTTCTACAGTAAAATGCTGAGCCCTAGATGTGCCTGCCACAGGTGGGGGGCTGCTTTCTGGTTCTTTGTTTTACATCTTACAGTATTTGCTCGTTTTCTAAATCCTGAGTACCATGGCAGAAAAGTCCCAACATGCCCCAGGTATCAGAGCCCAGTCCCTAGTGGGAAGATTTGCCCAGCCTGGGCCATGAAGCAGAAAAACTCTTAGAGCCAGTGGCTCGTACTGTGAGACCCAGCCTTCCTGTCTACCAAGTATGTTTTCATACAACTTTACTTACTAGAAAATTCTTCATGTGAGCCTCAGACATATCTTTCAAGGCCTTCTATGCATTGGTTTTCTTTGTTGTTTTGTAACTACGTGCAGGTATTCTTGCAGTGTATGCATGCATTGCTAACATTATTACCACATCACTGCAGCCTTGTTTCTCCTTTGCACAGGTAAAACAACTGTCTTTGCTGTGATATGAGAATCGTCATCAATTTTCTGCTTTTAAGTGGTGACCCACTAGGAATTCTGCACTCCTTATGCTTACTTCTGCTTGTCTCACTGTGTGATGCTGGCTGGCTTGGGATTTGCTGCATAGACCAGGCCAGTCTCAAACATGTGTCCATCTTCCTCCTTCTGCCTTATAAAATACTAAGAATATATTTCAGTGCACCACTTGTCATTTGCCCTCCTCTGTTTTGTGTGGTTTTCCACCCTGATCAATTCACTTTATCACCCTGTTTATTTTGCCTTGCTGCTTGACCTCCACCGAAATCATATTAAGACCTGACATGATTTTTGGATGTCGAGAACCAGTTGAGCAGTAGTCATTAAATGCCTAAGAATAACATACAACTTTCAAAAATAAGTAGGGGACCAAAGCGTGTGCGTGTCTGCATAGAACCTTTTGAGTGTAAGGTCTCAAAAAATTAAACTATCTATTATTCAGACATTGAAATGTATTTGTTTAGAGCTGGGCTTCTTGCGGCCTTCCTAAAAGTTGTTTTCATCTGCAATTGCAATTTTCCCATTAATGAGAAATGGGTCAAGCTTTGCCTCTGACACCACTAAGGCTAGAACAAAATGATTAAATTGTCTTGGTATATTAAATTGCTAAGCTGCTATTTTAAAGAACAGTTATTTGGTCTCCCAGATGTCAAAAACTCAGTTTATCTACTAGTATTATGGTTGTGATGATCGGTATTGTTAAGATGGTACTGGGACTAGGGATATAGCTCAGTTGTTAGAGTGCTTGCCTAGCATGCACAAAGCCCTGGGTTCAGTATTTAGCACTGCATTAACCAGATATGGTGGCACAACCCGAAATCCCTGCACTCAGGAGGTAGAAGCAAAAGGACCAGAAGTTCAAGGTCATCCTGGCCCACACAGTGAATTCATGGTCAGCCTGTGACACATGAGATCCTGGTGGGAAGAGAGTATAAGAAGTCTGAGACTTGGGGCTGGAGAGATGGCTCAGCAGTTAAGAACACTGGCTGCTCTTGCAGAGGATCCTAATTTGGTTCCCTTCACCCACATGGCAGCTAAAAACTGTCCATAACTTCAGTTCCAGGGGATCCGACAATCTCTTCTGACCTCTGCAGGCATTGTTTGACACAGGTATACTTACATGCAGTCAGTATACTCATACACAAATAAAAGTAATAAAATATTTTTTAAAAGGAAGTCTAAAACTGTAGGGAATAGGAGATGCCTACTCATTAGTCGAAATCGGTCCTTGAGCATTTGGGAGATTATCTTAGGGGCTAGTAATCTTGTTGCTGCTAGTAACAAAACTCAGAACTGGAAAAGTACTTATGGTTAAAATAAAATTCAGTTAAAAAATGTTTGCTTTTATTTAACAGCTGTTTTAATCAAAATGTTCCTAATGTTATGATTATTTAAAAAGTTCTGAGTGGATTCAACCCAGAGCACTAAAACAAAAGGGGAGACACTCATTTTTATAAATTTGTGATATAATAATTTGTATGAATATTTTTCCCTTTTCTACTTTTATTTCAACACAAACAGATATATGGTTCAGGAATAAGTTAACATGGATGAGAAAGACTAGGTTTTGGAAGAGATTGTCCTTTTTCTCTTAGACAGAGGTACTAAATATTACCAAAGCCTCAAATTATCTATCAATTTTTCCATAGTCTATAACTATTACTATTTAATTTTAAAAAGAAAAATTACCAAATGATTTTCTAAATCCTAGGTCTGAATGAGGTCTGAATGAAGAAAAGTATATTTATTTAGATGAAATGTTAATTTTTTATTTTATCAAATTTAATTGTTGGGTCATAATTAAACTATTTCAGTGGCACTTACAACCAGATTTTAAATATACTATACCGCTTACATTTTCCAGCTACAAAGAGCCCTTGCCCAGGGAGTCTTCAGCTATAGAAACTAATTCTAATTGATTCCAGTCCTTCAAATGTAATAGTTTGCAAATGTATTCCACACAGTAAATATGATCTACATTTATATGTATGTTTTATGAAACTAATCCCACACTTGGTTCTTAAAGCATTAAATTAAATAGTCAATTATAGTCTGTTGATTATATTTTTTTAATAAAGGTATTTTTTCATCTTAAAAAATTAAATTTGGGGTTGTATAGATTTCCTTTTGCAGAATGACATAGTAGGTTGTTTATTAATTGCATTTTGAACTTTATTAACATAAAAAGTAACTCTTGGCCGGGCATGCCTTTCATCCCAGCACTCGGGAGGCAGAGGCAGGCAGATCTCTATGAGTTTTCTAGGCCAGCCTGGTCTACACAGTGACTTTCAGGACAGCTGGGGCTACAGGGAGACCCTGTCTCAAAAAGACCAAAAAAAAAAAAGTAACTTATTTTAGTGTTAAAGAAACGGAAGGGATAGAGGTGTGGCTTATTGGTTAAGAGCACGTACTATCCTTGCAAAGAACGCGGTACCCATGTGAGGCAGGTCACAACTGTCTGTAACTCCAGTTCCAGGGGATCCTCTAGCCTCCCCAGGTTACCTGCATATATCTGCACATGCCCACACACAGACGCAGACACATATCCATAATTTAAAAAGTAGAAACAGAGAACAATGATTTCCCCCAGTTCTAGTTTGTTTCTCCATTGTTGTGACAAAATACTCTGACCAATACCAACTTGGGAAGGAAAGGGTTTTTTAGACCCAGGTCAAAGTTTATCGGGGAGTTCAAGGTAGAAATTCACAGCAGGAACCTGGAGGCAGGAGCTGGAGTACAGGCCACGTAGGAACTGTGCTTACTGGCTTGCTACCCTGACTCCTGCTCAGACTGCTTTCTTATGCAACACAGGCCCACCTGCCCAGGGGTGGCACTGCCCACAGTGGGCTGGGCCCTCGCACATCACTCATCAAACAGATGCCCCACAGACATGGCCACAGGCCAGTTCAATCGAGGCAGTTCCACAACTGAGGCTTCTTCAACCCAGGTGTGTCAAGTTGACACTAAAGCTATCCAGCACACTAACCAACCCCATTAGTATATCTCTTGACATTCACCAAAAAAGGTTCCTGCAGCAAATGGCAGTTAACACAGAGACCCACAACTGGTCAACATGCAGAGAGTAAGAGACTTCAGAGCACCCAACTCTAAGTGAGACCACCTATATTGCATCCTGTCTCCCTCAAGGCTCAGGGATCATTGTGGAAGAGGGGGCAGAAAGGTAAGAGCCAGAGGTCGTGGATGAATACAAGGAAACTCTTGTCTGAACCCACAACATTTATGACAGTGTGCGCAAGACCTGTGCAAACCCAAGCCATACAGGAAGCCCCAGACCTAGCTGAGGATCTATCTAATTGATAAATGCTGAGAGATGGAGTGTCAGTTCTTAGGTATGATACCTAGTAGGGCCAGACTCCAAGGAATAGACCCACACCCAAGATCATTTAGGAAAAACATATTAGACTTGATAGGCCTTAAAAAACAGAAATAATAGAGGATATAAAGTCAGGAGGGGAGTAGTAAAGTGGGGATACAGAGAGGGGATCTAAATATGATCAGAGTACATTGTATGAGATTCTCAAATCAATGAAAAAAAATTTTTTAAAGGCAGCAGGCCCCAGTCTTAGCCACAGAACTATTGGGTGGCTGATTATTATCTGGGTAAGCGAGTGACTCTAGATAGGCTGACTAAACCCCAGTTGATGAACTTGCACTGACGGACATCAATAAGCCTTACCATGAATGACAGAATGCATGAAATCCAGTGGGTGGCTATGAGAGGGTGCTGATGGAGAAGGGGGTATAAAGACGATTAAGATGTTGTATATGAAATACACAAAAATTCAATAAAATATATTTTTCTAAAAAAGAAAAGAGGCCTACAGGCTAGGTTCTCAGAATTTCAGTTAGTGTTTAGAAGTGTCTCGAGGACACCATAGAAGTCCCGGAAAGTCTTCAAAATAAAGCAAGTAACAAACTATTTGCTTTTCTTTGGTTTTAGGTCCCTTGTTGCTAATCTTGCTGCTGCCAATTGTTATAAGAAGGAAAATCACCTTGATCTGGAGAAAAACTGGATGTTGGTAGAAAAAGCAAGAGTTTGTTATATAGCTGTAAGTATTAATTCACATTTTGGGGCATAGTTAATATGAAAGACTGTAGTTGTTGGCTGATTTGTATTATTATTTTTTAAAGTATTTTACTAACCCTGCAGATCATTCACCTATCTCAAAATGTATATTTGAGTCACTATTATAAATACAAAACAGAAATGCAATCTTTATCGGTACATAATTTGTATTATTACCTTCAGGTCTACTACTTTGGCCATATTATAAATAGATCTCATTCCAGCAGAATTCTGCACTATGAAATCAGTTTCATAAGATCTTTTGAAGTAATTTTGCAGCATACTTGGCAACTTACTATAAATGATACAAGCATTGTGTGGAAAAATACTAATATAAATATTCACTGCAAACAGTTGGAGTCTATTTGCCTAAAAAAATCATAATTGCTATTTATTCCACAGTAATTATCATGATACCTTTTAATTTAATATTTCAGAAACATTGATTGTGACAGATCTCTTAAATCTGGAAGTAAGAGCAGCATATAATTTAAGTTTTCTGGTGTTAAAATAATTGGTTAAGAATTGCTCTTTAAAGTAGAAGTACACTGCAAATTCTCCTTAAATAACCACCCCATGATTACCTTGTTTTATGAGTTAAACATGGTTGCTCACACATAAGTGGATAGCTATTAAAACTAGAAGCATCATGTACGCACACAGTCCGTGGTTTGGGTATAACAGCTGCTGCCATCTCCCGTCTGAGCTATGTGAAGCAGCTCATAAGGACATGGAGAAGATGGATGATCCTGTAGGAACATGTTTATTGAAAATACAATTATTTCTTTCCGTCTAGTGTTAACGTCTCCTACAGCATGTTTGTGTGTGCTGCTGTAGTCTTTACAGTGTTGTTATTGATTTCTCTGTAGGGCAACTTCTATCCCTTTGTAACTGTCACATAAATGCTTACATTGGGATTATATAATGGAAAGTCATGTTGTGTTTTCAGTCAGTATGTGAGAAAAACATTCTAGAATTAAAGATTTTCTATTTTTATTATTTTCATTTTATACCATTTCTTAAAATGATTTAATTTTCCTTTTGGGTCTTGGTAATGTGTTTTTGTAGTGTGATTATTTGTCTGTTTGAGGCAGGATCTCACTATATAGCCTGGGCTGACTGCAGACTCTATGATCTTCTCCCTCAGCCTGGAGCCCTGGGATTTGAAGCATGCATCACTACATCAGTATATCATGTAATTCTTTAGGGCATAATTAAGTGCTATTTCAAACCATCTTGATTTTTAAGAGTCTGAATTTCAAAGAGTATGTGATCTAAAGTTTAGCATGATATGTGTAATTATTTGACTATTAAGATGAAAATGTATTCTGATGAAAACGTATTTTAACTTGAAAATTACAGTTCTCTGTATTTCAGTGTATCATAGTAGAATTCTAAATTATGCACCAATGTGCCAGCATACCGATTTGATGAGCATACAGTGTAATGATTCCATAGTGTACAGACAGGATCTAGTCAGTTCAGTGAATGGGACTGTTGCAGAAGTACTGAAGACCCAACTTGCAAGCACCTCATTTTTAAGTGATTCTTTGACATTATACAATTATTTGTTTGTATATATGTGTGTACATGGGCGCAAATGCCTGTCATGGTGCTAAGTGTGTTAAGGTCAAAGGACAACTTGCTGGAATCAGTTCTTTCATCCAACAACAAAGGTTCTAGGAATTGAACTTGGGTCCTCATTTGGTGGCAAGCACCTTCATCCAGTGAACCGAAAGCTAGCCCCAAAACCCATTCTTTTAATGATTATGTGGTGTAACACATGTAGCTAAATTTGGTGAATGAACTTTTCATAGTATTACACAAACATGGTTTTATGAAGTCATAGAATGATTAATTCTGGTCAAATTATTAAGAAAATCTGTATTATTTGTTTAGATTTGTGTGGCATATTCAATCAGAAGAAATGTCAAAATGGATTATAGTTCAAGACTGATAATAGCTTTTAGCTTTTTATTTTTATTTCAGTACTTTTGTGAAAAGAATACTCCTTTCCATTGCCCATTTCCAGACAAATCTATACTCTGGTCAGTGCTTGACTTGTTTGAGAATTTATGAAAACAAAGAATTCCTCTTTCTTCCTTTTTTCCATACAGTCTTACTTTGTGTCTCAGGTCGGCTTGAACTCACACTAAGCCTCAAGAATTGAGATTACAGCTGTGAGCCACCATGCCAAGCTATTTTTTGTTTTGTTTTTATGTAGCCCTCTAACTCACTATGTAGGTCTATCTGACCTTGAGCTCCTGCTCCTCCTGACTCCACCTCATCAGTGGAGATTGCAATTGTGTACCAATCCCAGCCTAGAGGCTCATTTTATAGAACTAGGATACTCTCAGTTTTTCATGGGCATACAGCACATATTTAAAGTATGGAATTGAGTTCTGATCTGTTTATTACTGTGTATTATTTATACATAGTAATGTATTTTGCACTGAAACCTGTGTCTAAAATTATTTTATACAGTTTAGACTTTCTTTGAAGATTTTTTTTTTAGATTGATATGTATGTCCGTGTATCTCTTTGGTCATATGCCACATATGTATGGGTGTCCATAGAGGCCATAACAGCTTATTGGATCCCCTAGGGCTAGAGTTACAGGTGGTCACAAGCTACCTGACATGATGCTGAGAACTGAACTCAGGTCCTCTGGAAGAAGAGCAAATCCTCTTAAGCCCTTGAGTCATTTCTCTGGCTCTTCAGACTGTGTTTTACTATCATGATACTCTTCCTTTTCACTTGTGACGTTTTACTTTTTTTATTTTTTATTTTTTATTTTTTATTTTATGTGTATGTGTGTATTGCCTGCATGTAGATAAGTGTACCCGTGTTGTGTAATGCTCACGGAGGACAGAAGAGGCTGTTGGATCCCCTGGAACTGGAGTTACGGACAGTTGTTAGCTGCCATGTGGGTGCTGGGATTCAAACCCAGGTCTTCTGTAAGAACAGCCAGTGTTCTTAACCACTGAGCCATCTCTCCCACCCCCTACTTTTTTCATTTTTAAAGGTTGTTTCTTGTAGAAAATACATAGTTCGGTCGTGCTTTGGTCTGGCTTGACAGTGTCTGACTTTTAATTAGAATCTTTTTTGTTTTTATTTTTTTTTTAATTTTATGTGTATGCATGTATTGCCTGCATATAGGTAAGTATACCCATGTCATGCAATGCCCACGGAGGTCTGAAGAGGCTGTCGGATCCCCTGCAACTAGAGTTATGGACAGTTGTTAGCTGCCATGTGGGTGCTGGGATTCGAATCTGGGTCTTCTGCAAGAACAACCAGTGTTAACCACTGAGCCATCTCTCCAGCTCCTTAATTAGAATCTTTATACCATTTCTATGTAATGTGATTATAGGTATAATTTAATTCAAGTTTATTGTCTTCATGTTTATTTTGTATTTGTCCTTTGTATTTTTATTCCTTTTTCTTTCCTGCCCCTTTGAGTTAATCTAGTATTTTATCTCCCTGGTATTCTCTTTCTTTATCTCTCTCTCTCTTTTATTTTAAGGTTTAATAGTGTACATCTTTCATTTATCACAGTTTGTTTTCAAATAAGATAATATGGCTAGGCTTGGTGTCACAGACCTTTAGCCCCAGAGGCAGGTGGATCTCCATGAGATTGAGGCCAGCCTGGTCTACATAGCAAATTCCAGGCTAGCTGGGGCTACAGGGAATCCCTTTCTCAAAAAGACCCAAACAGAAACAATTAAATAAATGATATGACTTCACATATCATTTAATCTTACAATACTGTATTTCTACTTCGCCCCTTCTGCCTTTATGCGACTATTGTTTCATTTTAATTTTGAAAATTTTAATTATTTTGTTTTTAAATAGCTTTGTTAATATGTAATTCATATATAACAGAACTCATACATTTCTTACCTATTTTATAGCTGTATAAAGTATCTTTTAAAGAGACTCCAGAAGGCTTGGCTGGTTTCTGCTTCTTCAAAGCAGCTCAGCTTATCTGTCTGAGTATTTCTCAGCAGTCCTTAGGGCTTGTTTATGCTTGGGGAGGGAAGGGCCTGGTGAATTTGGTCAGTTTCAGGGACTTCTGAAGCTTTTGAGTTGTTTGCTTCCTGAGCTTAATGAGCATCCCTGAGGGATGGAATGTTCCAGTGTCCTGCTGTTTACCTTCCGTGGTGATTTGAATGCAAATATCCGCATAGGCTCCAAGTATTTGACTTGTTTCCAGTTTATGGTGCTGTTTTGGGAAGTTTTATGAGGTTCTGCCTCATTGGAGGAAGCATGACACTGGGGGCGTGCATTGAGAGTTCTTAGGTTTTGCTAAATTTCCAATCCCTCTGTGCTTCCTGTGCCTGCTGGAAGTTGTGATTGATTGGCTTTCTGCTTTGGTCCCTTCTTCCATGCCTCCCCACTGTTATGGACCTTACCCCTGGAACCAAAAGCTTAAATAAACTGTTTCTTCTGTAAGTTACCTTGGTCATGGTGTCTTATCACAGCAACAGAGAAGTAACTAATATACCTCTTTTTAGAATACCTTGTGCCTTAAGAAGCTTTCCTCCAAAGTGGAAGGTTTTATCTCTGAGAAAATTGCTACATAACAATCTTATTATGTAGCCCATGGTAACCTCCAAACTACAGTCTTCCTGTGTCCCCGTCCTGTCTGTTGAAATTGTAGTAGTGTGCAATCTTGTTCCACTGGATTTTTCCTTCTTTGGTACTGATGTGGAGAGTTGTCCACAAGGATCCTCTTCTAAGCTCCAAATTTCTCAGTGAAACTACCTCTCAACAATCTGGTTTTGTTGGTTGGGCTTGGAGGTGGGGTTACCTGACTGGTTTGTTTGTTTGTTCGTTTGTTTTTTGTTTTTTATTGTTGGTAGTAGTGGGGGTGCTTCTCCTCTGATATAGTTTTCTTTGTTTCTAGGTAATTGATTTGGACCTTTTTTTCATTTTTAAGACAAGGTCTCCCTGCATAGCTCAGGCTGGCTTTGAAGTTAAATT